ACTACTACTACCACCACTACCTCTACCTCTACCTCTACCTCTACCTCTACCTCTACCTCTACCACTACCACTACCACTACCACTACCACCACCACCACCACCACCACCACGACGACGACTACTACTACTAAGTTACTACTACTACTGCGACCACTGCTACGACCACGACGACGATGACGACCACACCAGGACTTCTTCCTCTTCTACTTCAACTGTTGCACTACAACTCGCCGTTGATAGTAACTGTCAAATTTAATAGGAACGCATGACGGTCAGTTGCTGCTTCACTGCTACTACAACTACTTGTATCTGCTCTCACAGCTGGCTGGGCTTGGTCTGGCGCGGTCCCGGCACGAATGAAACACGTCGGTCACACGATCGCTGTGGCAGCGAAGAGCAACACGCCGGCCTCGACCTGAGACTCTGAGACCCTCTAAGCGCTATCCCGGAAACGACTTAACACAAGGATTGAATAGAACAACATAGAGCACAATTGTAGGAAGAAACAGAGCAACAAAGCAAGCCTTAAATTGTCAAACCCGTCGCTGGGAAGCATTTTAGCATTGATCCTTGAGCTTGGGGCAGGTTCCATATCGAACAGACGGTGGCAGAGGTCTTTGGTAGCCCCTCCCAGCTTCTGCCTGGAAGGCTACTTAGTGCCGTGACCACTGTCTCTTGTCGCACGAATGGTGTTGACTGGCAGGGTGCCTGTGAGTCCATGCAGCCACGATGAGAAGAAGCACGAGCCTCCGAGTCGCGCGTAGGTCTAGTCGGCACTGCCCATTGCTCAAAGTTCCAAAGAGCCGAGCTACAATGCAAGAAGGGCGGTGCTGATGACCTGGGCCACTTCGCAGAGTCCGCGGCGTGCCTGAAACATGACTGCTTGCGAGCAACGGCGCAAGCTGGACGTGTCTGCGTTGCCCGAACCTCCCTGGCGGACAGCACCGCAGGAGCCGATAGAGCCCGAGTCTGCAAGAAAGGCTCTCGCCCTGCACAGGTGTTGCGAGTGTGCGGGATGCTTCGGGTACCCGGCAGCCGCCCTCTGCCTGGCAGGTGCTGCCTTTCCTCCGTCATCTTCTCGAGACATCAGGGCAGGCTGCTTGCGAGAGAGCGGAAAGGATTCTATGTCCGAGCTACGGAGGCCTCGACCCACGAGGCTGGGAAGGCTCTGAAAACTTGGTGCTACTGTAGTAGGAGGCTTCGAGTTGTTCATGCAATCGCTTGATGATGCGGAGCATGGCACACATGCCGTTACGTCATCAGCAAGAAGCACCAACTCAGAAGTATCAGAGACAGCGGCCCTGCAGGTTTGTCCACTAGTAGCAGACTTCTGTTGCCTGTGCTTGGTGAGACACGAGCGGGAGCGGCCTCGGCTCTACTTCGGCTCTGCCTCTGCAGGGCCTTCCCGGGCGGCCTCGGATCCCTCCAAAGAGGGGCCTGCAGCAGAAGCGGCCGTCTCGGAATCCGACGGCCGGTCCCAAAAGTCATCGCCATCTGACCAGGCATCTTCCTCGTCGGAGCCGATGGCAAAGATGGAATCGCCCAAGTTCGCATCATCCAGAGCATCCGAATCACTTTTCTGCGGAGCCGGGAGACCTGTACCGACTGCCTCCTTCAAGGACTGTCCCTTTTGACGGACGCCCTGCGCTATGCTCACTACGCCAGAAGACACTTCGCGGCCTTTTCGCGCCAGGCTTCCCTTCAACTTGCCACCGAGGGATCGCATGCGATTCACGGCCTCGTGGGAATTTGGTGCGGAGAGATCTGCATAGTTGGCCCTGGTTGAGGGCAACATCCAGAAGGCCTCTTCCTTGGGCTCCTCTTGCAACCGATTTCTGAGACCCTCTCGCAGGTCTCCGGCTTTGCGGAACACTGCCGTCTTCACTTTGCCCAGACCCCGGGGGCTCCGTCCCTCCTTGGAGTCCGAAGCCTCACCAGCGTCGTGTGCATCTTCGTCATCGTCCAGAGGCTTCGCATCTCTCTCCGCGGTCGCCTCTGTGCCACCGAAGACCTGGACAAGCCGCTGAACCAAAAAATGCTGCAAACAAAACTTTCCAGACCCCGCATACGAGAGAACCTGCTTAGATACTCCACTACTACTACTACTTCTGACCCGAAAAGCCTGTGTGCACGTTCGAAAAGCACAGTGCGATATCGAATCTAGCCACGCTATGTGAAACGCAGGGCCTGCTTGCCGACTTGCCGAAGGTCATGGACGCTGTGCCGAACCTCGCTCATGACCTCCTGCTTCAGCTCCTTGACATCTCTCCACATGTCTTTGGAGACGTCTGCTGTCATTGCAATATTTTGGCGCACTGCCTGAAGGCCACTTGCAGGACTCTCCCCTGTACCATCCGCTTCTTTGGTCTCTGGAGGATATCCCTTACGTTCCTCTTTCTCCTGACCAAAGCTCCGCCAGCGAGCTCCGATGGCACTCCGCCAGTTCTTGGTTTGAGCTTGCAGATCCTGCTTCGTGAGCTGCATACCCTCGCGGACACCGCCAGCAATGTCGCGAACGTCATCCGTCACCAGCTTCGCCTCTTCGACGATGGCCTTGCGCGAGGCACACAGTGAAACCTTCCCGGGGCCCAAAGTCCGAGTCCGGCCAACACGCGCCTGCCGAGCCTTGCTCAAGAAGGGGCTGGCCTTCATCCTCAGGCTCGAAGCCTGGGGCTCCCCCCAAAGCGCGCCCCTCCTTCTCCGCTGCTACCCGCTGCTATCCGGAGTGCTTGGTCCGGGACGGAGCCGAGCAGAGCCCCGAAGCGGCTGGAGCTCGCGGCCTCGGCAGCTTCGGCCTTTCACACGGAGAGACGCGGCCACAACGTCCACTGAGATGCTCTTTTTGTGCAACAGAGAGGCCTCCAGCTCCGGCTCGAGCCTTGGAATTCCAAGGGCGACCGGCTAGACCGGCTAGAGGCAAGCCTGACCAAAAGCTTCCTCGGGCACGGGCTCAGGATGGCCATCTCCGCTCTCCCTGACATACACCAAGACTCCTGAAACCGTAACGGCCCCTACACATCCCACACCGCTCAGAGCATGAATAATGACGCTGGAGACGCTCGACGGTCTCTGCAGAGACCTGGCAATGGCGGGGATCAGCAAGCACGGCTGCTCCACCTGTCCCAGTCACGCCACCTCCAGGAGCTCCGCACCCGCCTCAGCGGCCTCAGGAAACTCGCATTTCACCTTCGCCTGGCCCCAATCTCCCCGACCTCTGCCATGTGAGCAAACACTTTGTTTGCAAGCTGAGTGGCAGAGGCGTCGGCGCCCTCACATGCCATGTGCCGCGGTGGAGCCTGTGTTGTCCTGATCCTCGTGTCTTGGAATGGCTCGGGTGGCTTGGTGTGGGGCTGAGAAAGCGAGCGGGACACCCGCATCCTCAAATCATCACATCCTCAAGTCATCTAAGAGCAAGTATTCAGCAGTGTTCGGATTCGGAATTCTATGTTTATGAGTGTGCCGGTTTGAGCTGGCAGACAAATCTGGTCGCTCTGGTCGTGCTCTCTCTAATGTGGTATGTAAGAGTACATGCCATATGCCCACTGAAGTTGCCTTTTTCGACGGGGCAAACGCTGCCCACGTAAGTGATTCGATCAGCTCAGCGTTGAGCCATAGCCTCGGCTCGAAACAGTGATCCACATGTGGTATGAGGAGTGCCTGTGTGAGTTCAGAGCCTGAATATTGTCGTCGCCTCAGTGTGTAGCACGGTGCAAACCCCAGGACACGGAAAATAGCTGCACAGCTCAACGGCTGCAAGGCATAAGCCAGGTGCGACTCGATTGCAGCACCCTCTGATTGAAGCAGCATGACCTGCAAACCCAATGAGCTGCTTGGGCCACTGTGGTGCGACGCTTCGCTGCTGCAGCTTTGTTACCTCTCTCTGCTTTCGCACCCGATGTCGGCGAATGGAGAAAGCCTCTCTCGAGCTTGATCTTGCCACGTGGTTCGCCCGTGTGCAACCGTACTCAAATGGCACCCCTTCATAAGCAATCCCACGGAGAATCTTGGGTCACAACGCCAAGAACTCAGCGCAGGACACTGTAGACGAAAGCCAGGGCGACAAAGAAAATCGTCGCGGACAGTACCTGAGTTTGTTCCGCTGACAGGCTGCAAAAGGCAAAGCTCGTGTCTTCAGCGAGGGCGTACAAACGCCCAGTGCGGCACATTTCTGGCCACCTTTGCAGATGGATTCGTCGCAGCGACACTTTGGAATGGTGGAGCAGTCGAGCCTTGAAGCTGCGTGCTGTATCGACCGGGCTGGTGCCGATCCGCACCTCGAAGTGCCGACGACACAAGCCAAGCAATATCAAATGCAATGAGTGTCCCGTTACACGCAGAGAAAGCTCCGAGGTGGAAGAGGGTACGTAGTTCTGAGTCAGTGAAAAACACGGACTGCAGGGAGGGACTCACCTCAACCTTCAGCCTTAAACACTGGGCAGCGACGCACGCAGCGGGTGATCCGAACAGATTACTGTGCCCTTCTGCTGAGGCAGGCATCATGCTTCTGCAAGCGCCCTTCTCCTCCCACCCTCCCTCTGATGTCTGCTCACCCTCCTGCGACAACAAGCCCCGGCCTCCTGGCGCCAGCAAATCACTTGCTGTACCGGAGGCATGACTCAGCCTCCGGCTAAGTCGTAGATCCACCAGATGCCAAGGCCGCCAAGAGATAGAAGCTGATCAGCGGGTATGCCACTCAACGAAAGCTGACCACATCACCAGACGTCACGACCTTGAGAAGACCGTAGGGGAAGAAGAAACCCAGATACAGCTGGTCCAGGCCTCGTGGCACACTTAGACACACTTGGCATGTCGGTGGGCATGCTAATTTGCGTGTGAGAAAGGCACCTAGGACACCACCAAAGAGGGAGAGCAGAAACCTGGCAACAGAGCATCAGATGCTCTGTCCCCCAAGAAGCTACCACCAGCACCACAGGCCGGCACGACGCCACTCGCTGTGACTTTCTGGGTGTCTCGCAGTTCGGATCAGCCCAGCCCTGGCAGGAATTCGTGCAGGGGGAGCATTCTTTTTGTCCTTTGAGCATGTTCGATTTATTTTTCTGCTTGGCAGCGAGACATGTTGACGTAGCTCGCACTGATCAAAGGGCAGTGTCTCTCAGCCACGCTGTGCAAACTTCACCGCCTATCTCACAGTTCTTGAAACAGCTTGTCTTTTACGCACGATCATGCTTGTCAGGTGTTTCTGTCAACCTTACAGGAACAAGGTGGTTTGCTTGCTGGCTTGATTTATTGGTATTGAATTTTTGGTAAACGAGGATTTCAACTGGCCTTGCACAAGCGATAGAAGAACTCCAACCCCGCTTGAGATGGGTGAAAAAATGCTTCGCAAATTGTGATCCGTTGCCGGATACCTGAGCTTTCTTGCTTAGCACTCACTCTGCCTTGTGCAAACCGGGGTTAGCTGGTGGCCCCACTCGCTTCCATCCTTTACGCGCTGGGCCCTTGAGCAGGAATGTCTTTGTCAACCCACAATTCAGGCTGGATACTTGTCTAGCATCGACGGCTGCAACACAATATTTCATGGTTGCAATTCAAAAGAAGAGCTCATTGTTGGATGCAGGACACACGAGGATCAGTACGGGCGAACCAAGGGCCCGGCTTCTGCGCAATAGCAGAACCTGGGGGCATCGGCACCCGCCTTCCAGCAGCAGGAACTACAGGACCCGAAGCTCTCGGACGTGTCAGTAGTCGTCGTCGTCCGGGGAGAGTAGCGGTGGTGGTAGTGGTACGAGTAGTGGAGCGGTAGTGGCAGCCGCAGTGAAGTAGTAGTAGTAGTAGTAGTAGTCGTCGTAGTAGCAGCAGCAGCAACAGTGGTAGTAGCGGTAGCAGTAGCAGTAGCAGTAGCAGTAGCAGCAGTAGTAGTAGTAGTAGTAGTAGTACTCACTCGATGCGCCGAATCGTCCATGATCCGCTGCGAGGACAGGCACGTACGGCCCGGCGAAT